TTTATTTGTAATTATTGTTAGCTGCATAAAATTACTTTACTAGATTGTTATTCTGTAAAGGCAAAAAATAAAGAAAGAAGTTGTAAACCAAATATCTCATATTTTAATGTATTTATATATATGTATATACAAGATATCTATCATGTATAAGAGAACAGTTTAATGTAAATGACGATATCAGTGAGTGTTGCTCTTTTATTGATAACCTTTTTTCCGTGTATAGTTAACAAATTATATAGGAAAATGGTAGCAGCCATATTTGCTCAATACATTAGCAGGCTCTGCATCCTAGCTTTGTCTTTCTGATCCCCTTATCTCTCTGCATATCTATCAGACAGGTAGGCTGGTTTTATTAAAGGATCTTACTATGTTCACACAATAAATTGTGTAGAGATTCACTTCAATTAACCAATCATGTACAGATGAAACAAATAGGAAGGGATTTTATTTTCACATTATTGGATAATTAAAGTGAATCTTAACACAATAAGGCCCCATTCTTACTTGGTGCCTGCGAAAAGCCTGCATGTCCTGCATGTTTGTTTATGACATACTAAATACGGCAAGAAAGACGAACATCTTGGCATGCAGCTCAAGTTTGCAACTCGCCACGTTTGTTATTGAGTTAAATGGGCTGCCCTATGCTGATGCGCAACAAATGCAGTCTCAACATCTGTCTACCTAACTAAAAAATTATTTGCAGACTTTGAGCTGTATGTGAAACTCCCCACTGAGCACATTGGTAGCCATAGACCATGTGGTCTGCTCTTCCTAGACTTTGAGACTCATTCATGGCAAGAAATAGACTGTATATATTTTTTTTTTACTGGTAGATTTGGTAGGATGACATGTTCACTACTGATGTGAAGTGGACTTTTGCAGTGAAAAGTTCTTATATATTATATTTGAAGTTATGTTCGAACACACTCTATGCTGTGAACTAGCTTTTGCTTTTTAAATTGGCTCCAGAAGAGATGGCAATAGACAGTACACTTACATGGGATGAAAACATTTTTGTTTAGGTTTACTTACATGCATCAGGTTTAGCTGTACCAAAAAGTATATACTCTATATCAGGGCTCAAAATTTCAAGTCCTGAGCTACTAGCCAGGCCTTAAGAGTTACTCGCCACCAGTTGCCCCACCTAACCCCAACCCTGCCTCGGCCTTAACTCCGCCCCTAAACCCACCCTCTTAAATTATCTTATGAAATTACACTTTTAAATGTTGAAGGCAATGGAGCGACTGCTCTCATCCGTGCAGATCCGTGACCGCGTGCCTGACTGAATTTCCACTCGCCCTCTCTTTATTTCCACTCGCCAAATGCGAGCGGGCGAGTGGAAATTTTGAGCCCTGCTCTATATTGTATATTTGCTTTGTGTTTCTCTCATTAGCATCATTAACATACAATGCACAAGCCAGGGCTGTAATCCTTTAACCCTTTGATAGGACAGGCAGTGTTCAAATCTACATGACAAATTATAATAAAAATGAGCCAGCATAGGGTTCTCACAACCCCTCATAACATTACAACAAAGGAGAAGCAAATATCAATTTTAAGTGTATTTCCACTTTTGCAGTCAAAATAGAGAAAACCCCTCTATATGTTAGTGGTAAGTCGGTTCACGAACTTAATTCGTTCCACGATTCTGGACGCGAACCGAATTTGTCGCGACCCGAATCAAATTTCGCCATAAGGTTCAATGTAAATAAGGTTAATACATTATGACTCCTACGAACGTGGTCGCAAACCAGTTTTGGTCGCGAACAGAATCACATTTTCCCATAAGGTTCAATGTAAGTAAGGTTAATCCGTACTGAACCATATGCAATTTTTTTCTTGTCCCCTTCATTACCGCTCTGCACTTTCTTTTTACCACCATACTTGCTCTACACTTTCTGGTTACCTTCATTACCCCTCTGCACGTTCTTGTCACCTTAATTACCGCTCTGCACTTTCTTTTTATCACCATGCTTGCGCTTCACATTCTTGTCACCTTCATTACTGGTCTGCACGTTCTTGTCATCTTCATTACCGCTCTGCACTTTTTTTTTACCACCATGCTTGCTCTGCAATTTCTTTGGAGCCATGCTGGATTGAATAATACTGTATAGTACTCTATGTGCTAAAAAGCACACAAAAAAGCTTCACAGCAAGTGTGCACAGATCTCGACTACAAGAAGCCACGACCATGTGTCAGAGCGGGAAAATGGCCGTGGTCGTGCTCGTCACCCAATTTGGAGTTCGCGAACAGAAGCAAAATTTTGCCAAACTTCATGTTCGTGAACTAAATTGTTCGCGAACAGAAGTGTTCGTGAACCGAGGTTTTACTGTATGTTCCCATTCACGCAGCATAACAAAAAATAATTTTAAAAAACTACTTTAATTTTTATTAAAATATTTCTTACATTTTAGATGTTTTATTGAAGCAGGCAACATGGCTGATTCCAGGTTTTTTCACTATCTTCACAGTGATTTCATCTTATAAAAAGACATAGGACTGAAATTTGTGGATTGTGTTTCTCTCATTAACTTCATTAACATTTGAATATAGAAGCCAGGGTTGTAATCCTTTAACCGTTTGTTAGGACAGGCAGTGTTCAAATCTGCTTTACAATTGATCAAAGACAGCTGTATTATATGTGTGATATTCAGACGCAACATCCTTAAAATAGTCCACAAACCTTAAAGTACAAAAAAAGGGAGGGGGGGATTTTTATAGGTTTCACATGTATACTACAGAATTACCAAACATCTCTAAAATTGAAAATTTTTATTACAAAATATGTTAAAACATAATGAGGGAAATTTATCAAAAGTGGAGCAGACAAAATCTGGAGCAGATGTGCATGACAACAAATCATCTTCTCTCTTTCATTTTCAAGTCTTAACTGAACAAACTGAAGAGAGAAGCTAATTGGTTACTATGGGAAACTGCTTCAGATTTTGTCTGCTCCAGTTTTAATAAATTCCCCAATGTACATTGTCAAATCAATAGAAACAAGGTCCCTTGTAATAATTAGTGGAACCAATACATATTGCACAAACCTACATGTACTACCAATTTTATCTACATATATACACTGAGTGGTCAGATATATACACTGAGTGGCCAGATGACTCCACGAGATGACTCCACGAGATGACTTCGTTGGGCCGCCTCGTGACTCCACAAGATGTTGAAAGGTGATGCGAGGAATCTGACACTGCACTGTTACCCTTCTGTTGTCTTGTTCCAGTCTTGCCACTCTCCGTTTTGCCCTAACATTGACTAGTCGCTGACGACCACAATTCGCACGTTCAGACCCAGATTTTCGGCTGACAGTCCAGTCTTTAAACACTTTAACAACAGCTGCTCTTGAACATTTAACAAATTCTGCTGTTTTGCTGATACTCGCTGCATGGCTTGAGCGCCAACAATCATCCCACGTTCAAAGTCTGTTAAATCGCGTTGTTTACCCATATCTTTAAAAAAAATCACTTCTACTGTCGTGGTAAACAACCTGCTTCCCTATTTATAGTGGTCTTGCTCTCTAGCAACTTCAGCGCGAAATTATATCTAATTATAGCTAATTTGCCTACAAATGTCAGGTGGTCATAATAATCTTGCCACTCAGTGTATTCCATAGTAGTCCAATACCATAGAATTAAGATAAATGTGATCAGAACTTAGGAAGGTATCCAAAGAAGCGGGAAGTACTTGAGCAGGTGAGTTGTAATAGCTGTGATTGTTTCATGGGAATCTCTCCGCTTCTTCAGACAAAGCTTTCTACTTTACAAATTAAAATGAATTTAGCCAGCACAGTACAGATAGGGTTAACAAACCCCCTCACTCCTTATAACCCCTCCTAACATTACAAAGAAGGAGAAGCAATAGAAAACCCTGACCCAAGTGAAAGCAATTTAAACTGCAAGTAAGTGAGTTTTTCAATATTTCTTTAACTTATGCTATGTGAATGAAAACATTTAACAAATATAAAATACTTGTTATCCTAATTTGGAAATACACTTTAAGAAGCCAATTAGAAACCCTAACCCAAAATCAATTTAAACTGCAAGAAGCATTTCTACTTTTTTTTTTTTTTAGCTAGGCGATGTGATTGGGATCATGTGACAAATATAAAATAGGTGATATGCCATATTGGTTGTGAAAGTGGAAATACACGTTAAGAATATTCTCACTGTAGGATAGATATATTGATTATGTTTCATTGTGAATTAAATAAAGGTTTACTTGTTTATGTGCTATATGTCAAATAACATAAGTAAATGTTTTTGTTTCATTAAGTACTGCAAGGCATAATGGTAGTGTAATATACAGGAATATACTAACTAAATAAAAAAGCATACCAATAGGAAATTGATAAGTCTACAGAAAATCCAAAAAATGCTCTTTAAATTATTCTTATTAAAACTGCAAAGTACATACTAAACAAAATCAATGCTTGTGAGAACACTCATACTATGTTCTCTGTAGTAAACCTTAAAAACGAATCAGATATTTTTTTTTTCTAACTAGTGGTTAACATTTTGTATATCTTCTTTGCACTGTCTGATTGAATCTGAATTGGTTATCCTGTTTAAAGTCAACTCCACTTATACTCCAGGGCACAGGTACTTTAGGATAAGTCACATGATGGCCTCTTGTATTTCAGATCACATTGAGGTTTCTGAATACAGATTTGGCAGATTTGCTCATCATTGAGCCCTCCAACAGGAGTATTTGTTTGTCTCCCTACCCCTCCCATTTTCAGATTTCCTAATTTACTGTTCTTAGAATTTTTTCCCCAATCATCTATATCATAGAAACCCCCCCAGGGAAGTTAGACACCATAATTTTGGATTTATAATGGCTGCATCATTCTAAAAGATTTGGGAATTCTGGTGGAGTCATCCCAGCAATTCTTCAGCAACCATGCAAAGCTGAAAGAATGGTTTAGGGAGTTGCCCTATAAACAAATGCTTTAACCAAGTGTTTTATTCTGTCTCCTAACCTGCAGGCTTTTTCAGAAGAAGTATTACTAAAAATGCCGTATACAAATGTAAGAATGGCGGCAACTGTGAAATGGACATGTACATGAGGAGGAAATGCCAAGAGTGTCGCTTGAGGAAGTGTAAGCAGATGGGCATGCTTGCTGAATGTAAGTGTTATCATAAATCACCCACTGTCTGCATTCCAGCCTTTATTCCTTTATTAAATAATCTGGTTTCCCTTTATTTATCACAGCAGTATGTTTACATTAGATAAATCAATCAAGCACAGTGTGACATCTTGATAACATTTGTGGACAGTGATAATGTTATCATGAATAAGAGTTCATTTTTGTATGTGGCAAGAACTGATCTAATGTCCCGGATAGTGCTGTAATAAAACCAATAGCACGCTAATGGTGATATTTTTATATTCTTTTTGCCCTATACTGGACATTTAACGACATTTGCCCTTTCCAGTTCAAAGTAGCTGACAAATATCTCATGTTGCCCATGTTTCAGTGGGAATTAAATCATCCTAGCTCCTCCACCCACCTCTCTTGATAACATAAATGTGTGTGCCCCAACAAGCTGAACATACATGGTTATTTAGAATTCTGCAGTGCTTAACCAGAAGATGGCTGTATCATGTCTGGATGTCTGACCACCCTCTAAAGCAGCTTTTCTCAACCTTTTTTTCAGTCACAGCACCCTTAAAAAGCATGCAAAATCTTGAGGCACCCCAGTCTAAAATGTAAGGCGGACCCACGCAAAAAAACGCATAAAAAAATGGGCTTCCATCCTTTGCAACTAAGTCCTCCCTTCAAATCAACAGCCCGGTTCACATCAGAATTTTCCCATTCACATCGGAATCCTACTTCACAGTAGTAGCCCCCCCCCATTCACATGACAAGCCCCCTTCATTTAAATTTGAGGCATCTCCTTTCACATCAAAAGCTCCTCTTGACACCAGAAGCTCCCTCTCACATCAGAAACACCCTTTATATTAGAGCTCCTCTCTCACATCAGAATCCCTCCTATTACATCAGAGTTCCCCATTCACATCATCTCAACATTTTGAGGCACTCCTGAGGAAGCCAGAAGGCACCCCAGTATGTCAAGGCACCCTGGTTGAGAAAGGCTGCTCTATACTAGAATATATGGGCAGCTTTACCCATCAACACATGTTACAAAGAGTATTTATCATTTAAAAGGTGAAAATTGCATGTAAATTTAATTTACATGTTATTGTTAGATTTGGATAAAGTGGGGTGGAGTTAGATCCCCGGTCACGTTTTTATTGCTGTTTGTCTCCCCTGGGGAGATTCAGCTCTATACTTGCCTGGTGATCAACCATTGTTACTGAGACACAAAGTGATGGGAAATCCAACATTTTGGAGTTGTCATCACAGCATGAAGTGGGGAAGAATTCTTTGATTTGGACTCCTGCTCCTACGACAACTCTCTAATGTGGGAATTGTATTCACTTTGAAGTGATTTCCTATGAATTACTGTTGCATCTCTAGGTCAGTAAGTGAAGGGAAATATCCCCAGTGGCACACAAGCCACACAAAATAATCAGGTTGGAGGGTTGTAACCATACTCTAGAACAAAGAAAAAAAGTTTTGGCTTTACATAAACTTTTAAGTCAAATTGAACCTTCAGCATTTAAGCTGCATCAAAACAAAAGGTGTTCCCTTTGTTTTCTTTTTTTTATGCAGCCACAGCCTGACTAGAAGCGCCCCTCCCCTGCTAGCAGCTGGAGAATGGGACGCTTGCTCTCAGTGGGGAAGCTGCAGTCTCATTACAGAGGTCCAGCCCACACCTTACTGACCTACTCAGACCTCAAGCTCTGCAATCAGCAATGCTCATGCTCCCCACTGATTAGGGTGCTCTGCATCTGACTCATCAGGGGGCATGTCAGAGCTCTGCAAAGAAATCACTTCTTTCCCACAGAGAACAATGGTCCCACTATGCAGCATGCTGGCAGTGGACAGGCTTTTCTACTCAGGCTATGGCTGATTTTTAAAGAAAGTAAACTATAAGCCTTTTTTTTAATGCATCTGAATTGTATTTAGCTACTTTAAACAGAAAGTTTAATTGGGCTTTAAATGGGTCAACAGATGTAAGGCTGGTTACAATTGGATGGGCCAACAAACGTATGTGTGTAGCCCATACCCAATATCTCCCAACATCTCCTGGCTGAGCACTCTCTTTGTCTCTAAATAGACGTAGACATAGGGATCCACAACATATGATGTTCTAAGTGTGGCAACTTTTTGTTCACTGCAGGCTTGCTAACAGAAATTCAGTGCAAGTCAAAAAGACTACGAAAAAATGTAAAACTCCCATCCGAAAAATCCTTCAATGAAGAATATGAGGGACTTGATTTTAAGCAAGTGACATCTACCACAAAACCAAACAGGGTAAGTATGTTATTTTGCACTATTCATAATGACACCAGGGCATAAGTTTAAAAGCAAAGTTCTGTCTGTGGTTGGTAGTATCCGTAGCTATATATTGAAGGGTAGATAGGAAGTGGTTATTGTGCTACTGTTGTAATTCTCGGTCGTGATATTTATCAGTGCATATATAGACGCTCAGCCCCCACTCACACTTCGCGTGAATGAGCGCAAAATCTCACAATATTGTATTTGTTCACGAAATGTGCAAAAAGCACATGTTGAACCTGTGATACCATTCATTATTAATGGCTCCCCATACAAGATGCTCGACAAACGCCCAGAAGACACACATGTCGAATATCACACTCGAATATCCCAAAGGTAGATGAGCTTCTTTGCCGCACTTGTCACATGTAGAGCCTTTTAACATGAAGTATGAATGGGCACAAAGATGGCTGACAAAATTTAGATTGATATTGGGCATAAGCTAACAATCTGAATGGTCATTTTTCTACTCCAACATGCACAAACATTCACATTTGTTTTGTACATATTATGCAAAGTTATCTTGATATACCTTCTGCCAAAGATGTCTCCATGAATTAAGATACCCCTTAGGTATCATGGTCCTTTTGATTATGCCCAAAAGCACATGCACTGGACAACTATTTTGAAATGTCTATGGGTACCTGATGCTAATATAAATATAGCCAAAATTAAAAACTCAATTCTATTGTTGCCCATGCTGCCCATGTTGCCATTTGCTAGTGAATTGCAGTGACACCACCAGCTAGTAAGTCTTGTATTTTTCAGCTTCCTTTAGCAGACCAAATTGGGCAGCACAAGTGGCAGATAGAAGGTTGTAAAAGAGAACTAAAGCCCAATCTTTTTTTTGGCTTTACTTCTCTTTTGGGTCAGAGGAGTACATTCACTAATGTAGGGTAGAATCCCTGCAGGGAGGTGGTTTGTGCACTTTCTAGGTATTCCTAGAGTCTTGAATTATGTTAATAGAGTTGTAATTCTTTAACTATATAGTTACCCAGGAAAATACTGACACCCACTACAGTACTACAAACTGCCACTAACCAAGCAACGCTTTTGGCTCAAGACTGGCTTTACTGGACAACAGGCAAATAGAAAAACATTATCGGGTCTATTTATAAATGTTTACACTCAAGATTCACACAACTTTCACCCAGGATTAACACTTTTTTGCAGTTGAATACAGTTGGCAGCACAGTGGCGTAGTGGTTAGCGCTTCTGCCTTGCAGTACTGCAGGTCCCTGGTTCGTATCCCAGCCAGGTCACTGTCTGCAAGGAGTTTGCATGTTCTGCCTGTGCTTGCATGGGTTTCCTCCGGGTACTCTGGTTTCCTCCCACACTCCAAAGACATGCTGGTAGGTTAATTGGCTCCTCTCTAAGTTGGCCCTCTATGTGAGATAGGGACCTTAGATTGTAAGCTCCTTGAGGGTAGGGACTGATGTGAATGTACAGCTATGTAAAGTGCATCATAAATTGTTGGTGCTATATAAATAACTGTAATAAATTAGAAAAATATATGAATCATGGGTAAATTGTTTAAAAAAAATAAACCCCTAATAATCAAACAATGGATTAATCCAAAATCTTGAAATATATTTCATTTACAACTATCATAGCTACCTGAATTTGTTTTAATATCGTCCGAGTGGGATTCTCTGCACAGCAGCACTCAGACTGGGAGAGGGGAGGTCATCAGAAAGAGTGAGGCATTGTTAAATTGCACAGTGCTGTAAGTCTAACACAGGAAACTTACTTAATGTAGGGCAATGCAGAAATATTACCTTAGCAGCATGCTGCTACTCTTTCACTGTTCAGTCACAGGCTGGTGGCAGTCCTGGAAAACGTTGAATTGCTGCAGTTGTAGTTCTAAGATCCAACTGTGCTATCTGGCAGGAGTGTGTATGCACGTCACACTGATTCAGTCTAGGGGATAAAACCAAAGAACACAGTAAAACAGACAAATAGTTCTAAAGAATACTGTCTCTTTTTAAACTAATAATCAGTTAAAACATGTTATCTGACACATGACATCTCCATTTGATTGATATAGTGATGAACAAATAGCATACATTCTTCTTCCCGGGCTACTCTATTTATTTTCAACAAATGACAAGCTAGAGAGGTTCTATAAAAAGGTTTTCGTGACTCTGAAGTCAATAGTAAATAGCATGTGACTTGGTAAACAGTGGTTAGAAAGAGGCATTTAAATACCAGTCACTCATTATATGCACTTTTGTTATGTACTCGGTCTTATTCATTCACTGTATGCTAATCAGTAACCAGCCCATGGTTTTGTCATACTCTAGTCACTGGGCAGAGAGCCATGGGGCATTATATTCTGAGACTACAAAGTGTAATACTTAAAGTAGTTTTAAACTCTCAAACTTTTTTCAATAATGAATCCAGATCACACAAATATACATTAGCCAGCAAAATATTTCCTTAAATTTTTTTATTTTTTTAAAACTTCGGGGTGTGTAGAATACTTGCCCCCTCCCTCCCCCCCACTGGCTTCTGTGGTTGTTTTCGCTGGCCGATACATTACAACAGGACATACTAGCAAGCAGAAGGAGCCACGGTGGCTAGTGGGGGCAGGCCCCGGGTAGCGAATATTCAACTCATTCAAACGTTGACTACTTGCAGCAGCTGGGGAGTGGAGATGCCAGAAAGGTACATTGATTCAAACTTCTTTTACACATGGGCTGTTGGATAACATTGCTAACCTTTCCTTAAGGGTCCATTTACACCTGCAAGCCTTGCTCACCGCACGGCTGCTGGTGTGCGATGTCAGGTACTGTGCTGATGTTAGAACAAGGGTGATATTTAATAAAATTCTGCAGTTGTACCGCATTGTACCACACTGTGCTGAAAAAAAGTACTACATGCAGCACTTTTTTTCAGTGCACACCACTGTAACACAGTGCTGTGAACAGATCCTTTTCTAAAGCAAGGCCAGGCACAATCGGGCCAGAGGACGGTGTGAACTAGCCCTTAAAGCATGACTAAGGTAGAATATTTTATTTAATATAGACCACTAGGCCCACCACCCAGTCCCTAGAAGGTACTAAAGAGACCACACTCCAATATTGCTTTAAATTGGCCTTAGCGGCCTTTTATTAAATAATTCAATAGGAAATTACTCTTTAATCAAAAACTTCAACATCAGATAAAATAGGTTGCAGGTCTTTGAAGGCCACACCTTTTCCTGAAATCCGTTCTCTGCGGCAGTACCAAAAAACATGTTAGGCCCCCAGCCGCAACACACTGCCTCGGCGACAACTACCAACTGACCGCAGGCACTTCCAATGAATAGAGGACACCGTACCAAGACAGGTCCCCAAACATTAATAATCATCACTTAAACGGCCTCCAAAGAACCCAACCGCCACATAACAAAGCAAATGTCCTCGGTGCAACCACTAAAAAACAAAAAAGGGGTGGGTGGGCGGGGGTTTGCTCCTCGTCCGTATCACCAACTGCTGAAGATGGAACCCCACCCACTCAGACCCCCACTAAAGCTCCGCCTAACCTTTTGACCTGGCCAATCAGGTAAGTAAACTAAGGTCAGAAGCCAAAACATTAACTCTTTGTATTGTCTCCCCCTATTCACCTTATTCATGCTTGGCCTACGCTTCTTTTTTGTTTTATTTTTGCTCCGGGCATAACTTTTTATTAATTTTTGGTTTGAAAAAAATGTTTAACCCTGCAAGACAATGACACATGACACAAAGCACATATACAATCAGTACCTACCTGGACCTGCTACCTACCTGGACCTGCTGCAGCTCTCCTCCAGAATGTCCTCACTCACGGCTACCAATCTCTGTGCCTCCAGCTCCAGGCAGCTAACTCCTGTACTCAGTCTCCACGCTGCCTGGACCACACCCCCTGCTACCGCGGTCCACCTTCCACCGCACACCGTCCGCAAGTGTCAAACACCGCGGGCAGCAAGCAGCTGTAGGCGGCAGGCCCTCTTCTTCTCTCTGGCCCTCCCCGGAACTGGCGGAACACCAGGGCGCGGCCGAAAATGCGACCACTGCGACTCTGGTAATTCCACCAGTGCTTGCCCGGTATTTAATTTACAGCATTACTGAAATGGTTTAAACCAGACCTGCCTCTCAACGTTAGAATGTGGAGAACAGACCAGATGTGTATTAGATGTGCAAACTAGAGAAAGAATAATGGAAACATTAGTGTCAGCTTCTAGTATTAATAAATATATATTATTTATGCAAATTGTGCTTTCCAGAAGGAATAGAACTGGTAGCATGTTTCTTAGAGTACATGTGTACCTTCAGGGTACATTTTTTTTCCTTGACATATGAATGCACTATGAAATGACAAAACCACTTCAGGAATTAAATGTTTTACATACACAACAACTCTATATTTAAGAAAAATTTTAAAAATATGTTTTAAAATAAAACTATAAAACTTTAGCCAAAACGTTTTTTTGTGGGTAAGAGTCGGTGGTGTGAATAGATAAAGGGTTTGAATATATTTGCTTTCCTTGTTTATTAAAGTCAAGACTAAAAACAATGCACATTTTATAGGCATTTATAGTCATATAAATATGAAATATTGCATAATAATATTATACTCTCCTCTATCCATCCTGCAGATGGAGTGCTTGTCTTTTTTCTCATTTAAAGCATTGTATCACTCTTACCTCTGCTGATAGAAGCTTGTTCTTTAAAGGAGAACTATGGGGTTAAGGCTTTTCCCCATAGTTCTCCTTAGGGTAACGGGAGGACACAAACTAGCGTCCTCCCGTCAACCTAGGCTCAGTATACCGCGAGCTCATACCGTGAGCTGTAGCTGCTCGCGGTATACTGAGACGCCGCAGCTGAAGCGGATCCCGACAATTGTGCCGGGATCCGCCCAGCTGCCTGATTGACAGCTGGCTCTGCCTACCTAGAGGCGGAGCCAGCTGTCCCCCTCCCCCCCCCCGTCCGTTCCGCCAGTCAGCGCTGGCGGATTGGAGCAGGGAGGGGGTAATCCAGCCCCTCCCTGTCACGGCAGAGAGCCGTGACAAGATCGAGAGGTGAGCGAACGCCGTTATGTGTTCGCTCACCTCCCGATCTACTGAGCCAACCTGTGACAGTTTCATTGTCACAGGTTGGCTAGAACTATGAGGTGAGTGAAAAGCACTCACCTCATAGTTCTCCTTTAAAGAGCTATAGTTTTCAGTAGGAGGTATCAATCACAGGAGGCTGTAAAGCAAGCTTTATTTGCTGTGCTGTCTCCTTAGGTCATAGTGCATAAAAAATATGCATATTTATATAATGGATAAAAAAAATAACAGTTTAAAAACATATAAATAAAGACATCTAAAATACAATTGACTGAAAACCATGATAGTTTAATTTTAACCTCTCCAACACTCTAATACTTACATTATGCCACTAAACCTAACCTTTAACACTATACTCCCCCTCTCAAGTCTTAATATGATTTTTTTCTTTACTTTTTTACCACTCTACCCATAACTAAAAAAGGTTTTGCCTAGTGTTACTCTATAATAGCTAGATATATTGTACAGTATAATCGTTTCATGCAACTTATTTTCAATTGTTGTTGGTGCAGGTCAAAGCTGAATTTACACAAGAAGAGATACAGCTGTTGCAGTATGTGATGGAATCATATAATAAGAATCGACTGCCACAAGACTTGGCTTCTAAACTGGTAGTGAGTACAGCTAATTTACAGTATTCATTTTCATGGATTGTGTACTGAAATGGCTTCAACCAGACCTATGTCTCAACATTAGAATGTGTGTAATAGACAAGATGCATATTTGATTTGCAAACTAGAGAGATAATATTGGATAAATTAGTGCTATCTTCTGGTATCAATAAATATATATTCAAAGCTTCGATTTTTTGGAAAATATTGTATGGAGTCAGAACATCTGGCCAGCCTATGGTGTACCACTAGCTCCAACCTACTGCAGAATGTGTGCACCCACCCCTCCATGCATGATTTTGTAATAAATGGTAGATCCTGTATAACCCACAAATAACTTATTAGTGATGGGAGACGTCCGCATGTGCTGGCAACTTATTGCCAGTATCTGCAGAGATCGCTGCAGGCTCAAGGAGATCAGCAGCACTATCACTAAATGACAGGCCCACTCCAGGGGTAGTGTAGCATTTTTTACATTATGTCCCCACAATGTATGCACCAGGTATTGGCTCCATTTTGGCTCATCCTAAAGACTCTACCATGCATGAGCGGTAGACCAACACCATCCACAACAGCCATACCCAGTGGAAAGCACATCTAGAGCAGTTTCTTCAGCATGTAAGTTTGTGTCTTAATAAGATGTGACCTTTTAATTTTGGGCCTTCTCAGCTCACCCCACCTCCCTAACCCCTAGCTTCTGTCATCTCTAGTCTCGCAGCTTACACCACTAACCTTCCCCGCCAAGCTTTGATTCTGTCTGGAGTTTCTGTCTTGATTCTGGAGTGCCAGCATCTGGGACTACAGCTGACAGTTCCTTGCAGAGAAACCAATCATCCCCATGCCTGCAACCTCCCTCATCATCATTGTGCCAGGCCCCCCCACCCCACCCCATCCCATTATAATTGTATCTGCACCCCCATTCTTACAACCATGCCTGATCACTGTTACAAGAACAGTCACAAGCCCTTAAAAGTTGCCATTTTACATTAGGTTTCAAGACCATTGACTTCACCAGTGTTTAACCTTTTTAGAAATGGCATCCTTTAAAAGTTTGTAAAAATCACAAGGCACCCCAGTCTAAAATGTAAAAATCATACATGTGAAAATGTAAAAAATGACTTGTAGCTCCCCCAAAATCTATACCAGACCCTTATTTCAGATAGGGATCTGATATTAATTTTACAGGGGACCCCCATTCAAAAAAAAAAAAAGACATTGAGTTCCCACTTCTCATCAGAAGTTCCCCTTCCCATCAGGAGCCCCTTCACATCAGAGTCTACCTTTAATCCTTACCACACTGCAACTGTAGCAGCATGGCAGAGGGCTCAATGTGGAGCAGGTCTGGACTCAGGTGGACTTCTCTCCTCTTCTGAATGCTGGGGAAGGTTCTGGATGCAGCCTGCCCCTGTTTAGCATCATGTGTTTCCATGGTGCTGGTACCTGGCTTGCCTACACCATGATAATGCATGACACGCATGTGCTAAAATTTGAGGGCACCCCTGAGAAAATCAGAAGTCCCCCGGGGTGCTGCAGAACTCTAGCTGAGAAAGAATGGACTACACTACTGCATAAATCACACTTCTGTGCATGGAAGTCATAGACAAACAACACTTCAAATATACATTAAGGTTAAAAAGACCTGCAAAGAATTTCAATTATCTCTTAAATGGGTAATCCACTGCGTTGATTACAGTGATAATCTCTTTCTTTACTTCCTTAAGTATGAAAGGGTTATTCATAGTGATAAGAAACATTATCCTATTATTGCTGATATAATTATGATAGAATATATTCATGTGCAAACATTACAGAACAGGTTGGGGGCGATAGGATTTAATAGTATCAGTAGTATCTGAACTGCAAATAATGAATTCTGCCTATCATGTTGTCTCCTTGGACATGCTTAATAATTTTTTTTTTAGTCAAACATATTCACACTGCCTGCTTGAGTTGTCACTATAGCAATATATAAACAATAAATTCAGCATGATGAGATAACTGACATATAACTGATGACAATCCATATACTTGCATATGCCTTAGATTCCCTGCTGTTATACCTGAATCCTTGAATCCTGGGCCATTCTCCAGGTAGTGTTTGAGTATGTTGCTGTTTTCTACCCCCTACACATTTGTATTGACCCAAAACTATGATGGGCTGTCTTACTAGCCAAAAAGAATGTGCAGGAGACAGGAAGGCGTAGGCAAGGTTTGTTTTCATGAGCGAGCCTCTACTAGTGTCCTTAAAAATTAGTTCAAGAAAAGCATCCTTAAGTGGAACTCCAACTAGACCATATTTTCTAGTTTTGGATAGAGAAGGCAATGGTTAGAACCCTTTTTATTGTTTAGTTTTATTATTTTTTATTGTTAGTCTTTTAGTTTTTATTGCTTACCGTGACCCAATGGAGAGAACTGGTGTCACTCTCCGTTCTTCCATAATTGACCATTTATGACCACATTCTAAGATAGTCCATGTGTTAGGGAATGGCAACATTGAAGTGTTCACTGAAATGTTGAAGCATAATGCAAAGTATATACAGCATTTATGTGGAATAAATCTCTGTTGTCAGCCCATATGCTTTTAAGGCAAGTTACGACATTTCTTGGAGGTCACAAAGATAATGATCAAAGATAGGCCTATAAAACACATGCATATCAGATTTGGCGTACACAGGGCAGGGACACTATAAATGTGTCTTTTCCAAGTAAGGCATGTATGTCAGCCAGTGATAAGATCTGCAATCTTAGTGTGATCTGAAGATAAACACATCTTCAAGGATTTCATTTTCATGGTTTCTTAAAGCGGACCTTCACCCATATCTTTAAAATAATCACAAACACACCTTTAGAAATGTTTAGTAATGACAATCTACAAACACATACTTCTAGATAACTGCAGGCCTTGTATTCTTTGCATACCTTATTTCTCTTTTCTTCTCCAGTCTTCTGAGAGTGGCCATATTAACTAAGGGCAGATGACTAGCTTTCCTATTACTTCCTGAAAATCTGGCACATGTAACTAGACATGTGACCATGCACATAATCACAGGGGAGGAAAATGCCTTTCACTGAGATGAGATTTCCCAGCAATGCTCTGCTGATGACAAGGCAATCCCAGTGTGCATTGCTTTGGCAAACTGAAATCATTTTGGCCTTTCAAAGCAGGAAGTGAATGCTCTGCAAGTGTAAGTATTTCAAAATCACAGCATTTTACACCTGACATGTCTTACATAGAGGGATGCATTGTAAAATTTGATTTTTGAGTGTAAAGGTCCGCTTTAATGCATTGAGGTTGACAGAGAGGGAATGGAAAATGTTGGCTTTGCATCCAAATGCTAATACTAAACCAATCCTATCATAATTTTATTTGCACGTAACATAAAATTGGAATTAATTTAGGTGTAACATATAAATGATCTCTTCCACAGGATAACTTGAGCACAGATGACAACTTCGTTTTCCTGACAACTATGGCTACAAGTCATGTTCAGATATTGGTAGAGTTTACCAAGAAAATTCCAGGTATTCCCATTTAGTCTATAAAGAATGTATTTTCCTAATCCCAGGCAGGGCAGCCATCAGAAATTTTGGGGCCCCTTACACAGCTTTAGGCCGGGCCCCCCCCCCCACCTCACCGTACCGCCGAGCAACGCTCCCCCCTCCCCACACTCTGACGACACACTGAGCCAGTCACACATTATTATTTTTACATTTATATAGCTCTGACATATACTGCAGAGCTGTACAGAGAACACTGAGCCAGTCACATCAGTCAAGATTGGAGCAGTGTAAGCAAAAAAAAAAGTGTGGTGTGCAATATAGTGAAATGGAAAGTGTAAATTGAGGCCCGGCCCCCCCCCCCACCTCACCGTACCGCCGAGCAACGCTCCCCCCTCCCCACACTCTGACGACACACTGAGCCAGTCACACATTATTATTTTTACATTTATATAGCTCTGACATATACTGCAGAGCTGTACAGAGAACACTGAGCCAGTCACATCAGTCAAGATTGGAGCAGTGTAAGCAAAAAAAAAAGTGTGGTGTGCAATATAGTGAAATGGAAAGTGTAAAATTATACACCAATCAATGCAGAATGGCACCGGCTATAGAGGACTACAAATCCCAGCAATAGTACATTATACAGTATCAGCTATAGAGGAATACAACCAATCACTATCCCAGCAAAACATCTATACAGCATGTGGGGGGGGGGGTGCAGGTAGTCTTACCTGCACACTCTTCAAGCAACTTTACTTTCTTCCCCGAGATCTTGGGACTGTCGGCAGCTGCCATTCCCCCACGCTGCAGTCTCCCTGCAATGACGTGATCATCTTGGCCGGCAGCGTATTAGCGGGCAGCGGCGGGAGAGATCTGAGAGCTGGGTGAGGAGGGGGAGGAGGTGTGGTGCGCGGTGCGTGCCGTGCGTGTGGAGCCACAAACGGGCAAATAATCGAAAGCCGACTAATCGATGATGAAAAACGTTGACAACATTTTCCTTTTTAATCGTACAGAGGAGCTTACACTCTAATGCAGAATGGCACCAGCTGTAGGGGGGACTACAAATCCCAGCAATCTGCTGGTCTCAGAGCTTAGTGACGCGCTTGGAGCAGGACCCACCTCATACCTCACACATACCTGAGAGTAACCCTGCAGAGCCCAACATAGATGCTGCACACTCCATTGGATACTCTCTATGGTGGGCTCTGCAGGTGTCTCAGGTAAGCTGGTCAGGGCTGCATCTCCCTGCCTCCCAGCTCCTCTTACCTGCTCACCTGGCCTCCTATGCCGCTGGACTGGCTGGAAGTGATATGATGTCACTTCCGGCCGGTCCGAGATCAGTACAGCAGCTTGCTCCAATGCTGCTGGATTGGCAATGCTGGGGCCCGGTGCTGCTAGGGCCCTACCGCCTCCTCTCCTGTCACCGTCGGATGATTCTCATGTAAGGGTCCCGAGCGGGCCCCCCAGGCTGCCCGGGCCACTTACATGAGTATCAGCTGTACCCCCCCTGATGGCAGCCCTGATCCCAGGCACAAAGTCGACACATTTGTGTTATTTATGTTTATGATCTATGAGTTGAATTTTATATTTGGACACACCCTGGATAGCTTTCATTAGAATGTATGCAGGACAAACAAAGATAAGGCTTTAAACACAACTGATCCGGTTATAAAAAAGGAATAATATTTTTTGTTGTTTACAGCAAACAAACAGAATTTTGTCTCAGAATATCCATTTTCCTTCTACATTTAAAGCGTACGCAGGCTTTTTTTGTGCCGATACTGCATGCTGATACCTTTTGGCACTAGTCTTGTACTCAGGGTGCCACTGTGTCAGCTCACCAACTTGCCACTGCCACAGGATCCAGAGGAGGAAGTCTTCCACTACTTCCTTCCACTGCCACACTCTTTATTAGATAAAGTCTTATGTCAGAGCCGCAGAGGAAGCGAGTAGTAGTAGTAGGTGCCAGGCTTCTGTATTTATATGTGTCAGCAGCACTTACAGCTATGTGTGGCTGTCCAAAGCAGTCTCTTATGCTTCCCAAGGAAGCTATAGTAGAAAACATTTTTACAAGACAGTATGTACTGCTTAGACTTATCTTCTTGTAGCAACTGCATCAGACTATAAAAAGGATTTCAAAGAAGAACTCCAGGAATTGTAAAATTAACCGTTGCAGTGGGGCTACCCCCAAACTGCAAAAGCTAACTGCTTGTTTTTCTCTAGGGGTCGGAATAAAGAAGATATACTCATCTTAACCTCAATCCTGTGGCTGTAAGCGCTCACCTCTCTCCCCCTCCACTCCAGCGGGGGTATGTCCCTTGACATCCTCAGATCTAATGAGTATGTCCTCTTTATTTTAGTCGCTAGGCCTAGACCGAAACAAGCACTTAACCCTTGCAGTGCGGTGTTAGCCCCACTCAAAGCATTCATTTTTACAATTTCTGGAGTTCCTCTTTAAATGTAATCTTCACTGCTAAGCTAGAATATGCATAAAACCTAAATTATACAAAATTTCTACTATTGCTTTGATAGCTGTCCTGGTATTTGCAGTAATATTATATTTAATGCTATTCGAATTACCAAATATGACCACCAAATGATACTTGGTTCTATCTTGTCTAAGAGAGAGAAAGCGTACTAGGAGGTGGGGAGTGGGCTAAGACAAGGGTGGGCCGGGGAAGGGGTAGGTGGGTACCTGCACCTATTCTCTGACATAAAAGTTCTTAACATGAAGTATCGTCTTTGTTTGGTCCCTTTTATTCTGTTAAATATTCCATTGAAAGAATTTGAGTAAAAAAAGAGTTTTAGTGCAAAAATACCTCTCTAATCTGCCAGAAATAATGTGAGCTGATAACTTACTGTACTTTCCTATTAGTTACATTGTTCCCTGCTACCTTTGTGGACTCTGTAGAACCTGGTCCCTCTACGTTATGGAGGAGAGGGTGAGCTGTTTGTAGATCTGTCTTATGGTGACAATGCTGCCTCTCCATAGATGCAATGAATAAGTACTGTCATCCTAGGACAGGAAATGTGTTATTGGCAGGATGTAACATAGTAACATAGTAACATAGTATTTGAGGTTGAATAAAGACATAAGTCTATCAAGTCCAACCTATTGCGTGTATGCATTTATGAGTCCATGTGTGATTTTGCTCTTAGGAGTACCTGGACCCCTGTATGTTATGGTCTCCAATGAACTCGTCCAAGTGTTTCTTGAATAATTCCACACTCTTAGCTGCAATCACTTCCTGCGGCAGTGAGTTCCAGATCTTAACCGCTCTAACTGTGAAGAACCCCTTGCGCCCCGTGTGTTGAAATTTTTTTTCCACCAATTTTTGGCTGTGCCCTCTGGTCTTTGTTACGGAGCTAACCGTAAAGAGTTTGTTAATAATGTTGCTGTCACCCTTGAACAGTTTATACAAGATAATCATGTCCCCGCTTAACGCCCCAACTTCAAAAGAGAACATATTTAATTTTAACAACCTTGTTTCATAGTTCAGATCCTCCAACCCCTTGATGAGTTTGGTTGCCCTCCGCTGGACTTTTTCTAGCTCAAGGATATCTTTTCTGAGTACTGGTGACCAAAACTAGACCGCATACTCCAGATGTGGCCGAACCAGTGATCTGTATAGTGGCAAAATTATAGACTTGCCCCTGCAATACATTCCCTTCTTAATACAGGACAGGACTCTGCTAGCTTTGTTTACAGGAGCCTGACATTGCGAGCTGTTATTCAATCTGCGGTCTACAATGACCCCCAAATCCTTCTCCATTTCCAACTTCCCTAGTAGCACACCCATAAGTGTATAGTCCCTTTGCCTATTTTTAACTGCAAAGTGCATTACCTTGCATTTATCGACATTGAACTTCATCTGCCATACAGTTACACACTCCCTGAGTTTATCCAGGTCCTCCTGTAATGTTACAACATCGAAATCCGTGTCTATTACCCTCTCAATTTTCGTATCATCAGCAAACACTGAGACACGGCTACTCACTCCCTCCCCTATATCATTAATAAATAGGTTAAAAAGCATGGAACCCAGCACAGAACCCTGGGGCACGCCACTCATGACCTCAGCCCAGTCTGAAAAGGTGCCATTTATCGATACTCTTTGTACACATTCCTGTAAGCAGTTTTCTATCCAGGTGCACACTATTTCATCTATGCCCATAGCCCTCAGCTTTTGTAACAAGTGTTTATGTGGCACCGTATTAAATGCTTTGGAGAAGTCCAGATACACTACGTCCCCCGGCCTCCCTCCATTCAGATCTTTACTAACCCCTTCGTAAAAGGTTAGCAGGTTGGTCTGGCAAGAACGATCCTTCCTAAATCCATGCTGATTATTAGTTATTATGCCATGATCCTGGACGAATTCCACTAAGTAGTCCTTAATAATTCTCTCTAACAGTTTACATACTGTGCATGTCAGACTAACTGGTCTATGTTCCCAGGTTGGCATTTTGACCCTTTTTTGAATATAGGTACCACGTTAGCCCTCCGCCAGTCGCTTGGCACTCTACCAGTCATTATGGATTCCTTAAAAATTAGGTACAATGGTCTTGTTATTACCTGGCTGTCCGCGGCCAGGAGTTGCCACGGAGTGAACCGATCGCGCTGTGGGTGCCATTACTTTCTAATGGCACCCCAGTTGCGCCAGGCGGATCGCGATAAAACAGTCCCGCGTCGTGTACCGCAAATAAAAGCTACTCGTACCTTTTTTCTGCGATTGCCGTACGGATTTCACCCAATTGAAATCAATTGGGCCGCGCGGCAATCGCTGCCTGCATTGTGCAGGACTGCACGATTCCGGGACGCGCGTCCCGGGTGTCGCGCAGGTGTGAACCTAGCCTAAATCTTCCATATGGGGGCATAGACAGTAATAAAATCTGATAGGGGTCCTAATAATTTGCCATTCTACCCAAAAGTAAAACATATTTAGATTTGCATACTTAATTGTGTGTGAACATAAGTTCAGCAGAACAGCATAAAACCAAAAGTCATAATGTAACTTCTTAAGTAAATCATAAGTCATATAATAACTTATTTGAGAAATCGACATGTAAATATTTACTTGGTGATTATTATATATATATATTTTATTTAGGTTTTCAGACATTAGATCATGAGGATCAGATTGCTCTGCTGAAAGGCTCTGCAGTTGAAGCTATGTTTCTTCGCTCGGCTGAGCTCTTCAACAAAAAGTTGCTTGATGGCCACACGGATGTCCTTGAAGGCAGAATTCGGAATAGTGGTAAGAGCAGACTTTGGGTTGATACATTTCCAGTCATTTTCGCACATGCCTCATTTATATTTCATGGTGTCTACAGTAGATTCAGTAGGCTTGTTTGATCACACCGATAACAGTCAAAACTAGTACATCAAGTGGTTGTCTTTTGTCTTCCAGCTTCTGTCTATAGCCTATGTGATTCCTCTGTGCTCAGTGTTTGCTTTGTTCATATGCTTGTATTATTCTGTGTTGTCTCTGACGCATGCATTGCTCTTTGCATAATAATACATGGAATCTCTTCTTCATATGTTTTGATATTCAGATGTTTTACTGTGTTCCTAATTATTCTAATTATAGACTGAAAGGTAAACTGCTGAATAGCAGTTAATTGCATTCATTGTGAAAGGAAAATCATGCAGTGTTATCGTTAAGCCCCATTCACGTGGGGCTTTAGGCTGCGGCTGGGGATTCCTGCGGCAAGAACCTACAGATTCTTGTGGCAGGAATCCCAGCTGTGTCCATACAGATGTTCCTGCTGTGCCCATTCATGGAAGGATTACCTGCAGCTCAAGATAGATGATTCTACATCCAGGGACAATCATCTATCCGAACCATAGATAATCCTTCCATGTACATTTACATGCAGACTGCCACTGACATCTGCCACATCTGTAAGGACACACCTGAGATTCCTGCCCCAAGAATCTGTAGGTTCTTGCCGCAGGATCCCGAGTGGCAGGCTAAAGCCCCGTGTAAATGGAGCCTAAGACCTAGCCACCTGCAATCTAAAATGAGGACAATTTTTTTGTGTCCACTATTTGGAGACCAGTACAGGAAAGCAATGTGTTCCCTTCCTGGACTTTCTTACTCACATATCACTATACCATGCACCAATGAATGCCCTAAAAGTGACATGACAGGTAATATGAATGAGCCACAGGTAAAATGTGGAACTGTAAAGTTAGCATAGACTGGGATAAGAAGAGGTTATTTCCCTGTGAGGCTCTGCATGTACATCAACAGGGTAAGTTGTTCAACAGGGTAGACTAACTATATTGAGAATATACAGTACTTTGGTTGTCACTTCTGAATGATGCTGGTTGTCTGACTGTGATTTTGATCCAACAGTTCAAGGCTTAGAGATACTGAGTTGACTAAAGATGGCCATACACTGACTAATACTGGAAAAACATATGAATTTCTTGATGAACCGCCCCAAATTCGTTCAGTGGGTGGCCCTGTTGGCAGCCTTCTGTCCGGTATCCTTCAATCAGAAAATCAAAGGAGACGGATGGAAAATTAGCTGCTGTCACTGTTTGGGTATTCTGACAGTGGCACACCCACCACTGTCAGAATAAAACAGCCCAGAGGGGGATTTGCCCATCCATGTTGTTAAGCATGAATGGAGAAATTTGTTATATTTTTTTCGCTCAGCCTGCAGGTTGAACGAAAATAAAATAACAGTGTATGGCCAGCTCTAAAAACATTATTTTTAAAGGCTATATAAGACTTTTGGTACACTGTTATAATAAATTCCCTGCTGCTTTTTTTCATTTAAGCTGTTAAATGGACAAGAAAATTACATTTACACTTAACAGCTTATAATAATTTATTAAACTTTGTATTCGTTTTTTTGTTTTTTTACTGTTTGCATTTCTCCTTAACACCTGCAGCCTGTCAACTGCTGCTGTCAATGTATCTTTCTCTGTGCAAGTGACAATCCATCCTCACTTTGACTGTTTGCACAATTTTCAAATTGTTATGTAAAGGAAAGAATCACCCCATGTATACCAGTTTACAATAAACAATTTTGTTGAGAGTGGCATATTTACCCAGCCAGACTCCTTACTCTGATGTTTTTTGCTGTAACAAAAGGCTTAATCATAGAGACACAGGAGGTGGAAAGGGATGGTGGTATTTTTAGAATGTGTTTTCATCACTTATCATACTGTATATGACCCTCTTAAAACACTAACAATATAATAATTAATTGTACAGATTTTCATGAAACTAAATATTGAATCCCCCTCAAAAAAATAAATCATTTTTATACAATAAAATAAAATTCAATTCCACATTTATGTAAAACCATTTAATCTTATGTTAAGATACTAGACAGCATAACACTTTTTTTTAGTATTGTGTTCATTTGTACTACATAACGGATATCAGTTGTTGCAGTAATTTAATGTTAATTATCATTAACAGAATGCGCAAGGTAGAGAGGTAGGGGATAAAAAAGAGTGAGAAAGGAGATAAAGAGGAACAAAAGGAAAGGAGGAGGTTTGGAGGAAAGTAATAACCAGAAAAACAAGCAATTGCTACTCTTCCCATTACTCACAGTGCTTGAGCATATGGTGCCATCTTATGGGGACTAGTGGTACTTCAATGACAGTCTAGCTAAAACCACCATTAGACTGTCACTTGTTCCATGGCTTCATGGTTATGGTAAAAAAAAGGATAACCTTGTCAGATGCCCCTGCAGGTCGAAGAAAAGGAAAACTTCATCACTCTCAGCTGCCTAAATATCAGCTCTACTAACAAAATTCTGACCAGAGGTTATATTTTTAAGTACATTTTTAGCCAAGCAATTTATATTGACTGGGATGGCCCATTAAATGAAATTGGAAGTTTTTTCTTTTGGGTTGAAAATAGGAAGGGGGGGTGTTTATCAAGGTATTGAATCTCCACATGACATTTTAAAGACAGTTTTGTTCTTAATTTAAAAAAACAAACAGAAATTAGCATTTTTTGATATCCAGTCTTTTTATACATCACATTTCCAGTCTGAGGTTACTACAATTTATAGAGTATGAGGTTTAAATGAAAACTAAATAAATAAACATGTTTCTGCATATAAAGTTCTGTTCTTTATTCTAGGTATTTCTCATGAATACATTAATCCCATGTTCAGTTTTTATAAGAGTCTCGGTGAGCTGAAGATGACTGAGGAGGAGTATGCACTGCTCACAGCAGTTGTGATTCTTACACCAGGTATGTTGTTAATAAACTTTCCAAGATCTGAACAAAGCATAAAGAGCTGATATAGAATCAGTGACAGGATGGGCAAATTCTGCCATAAGCCTAGGTGATAAATATTGTAAGGTGGAGACATTTATTTTAGGCTTTACATAAGATTAGATAGTCCGCCATTAGGATTCAGCTGTCTTCTGTGCATTCACTGATAACTACAATGATTTCAGGTGATGCTCCTGACCACCTATTATCAAGTTCCGTTATCCATGTTAGCTTACAGTTTATTTATGTGTTATTTTAGGTGGTACATAACTACCGAAAAAGCAGAAGTGCTCAGTGTTATATATGGTACATCTTTCCCCCTCCCTTTTGGCAAACCCCCAGCATACCCCATGCCCTGCCATGGTGCACCTGACAAAAACCTTAGCCATATCATATTGTAATTTCTTGAATCCAATACAATACTTTCACTTTGGTAGTTATGTTGGTTCCCTGCACCCTTCATTTTGTACTTTATTAAACCCACATTTTTGTCATCTTCTTTTTTTCATTATATCAGATGGTAATTTCATATTTTCTGTTTTTATTATTCTAAGTATTTGTGAAAGCTAAATAGCTTTTATAAATTCTTAGAATTAAATGAAAGGAAGCCGGTAAATACAGTGAGGAAATACATATACTGTATATGAGCTCCTTCATCTGCTAAATAATTTATATTTATGTCCATCCAGCTCAGAGATTGGCACAGTTCTGGCTACAGTGCAGTCCTGTCTGCCAGGGCAGAACGCAGAAGGCCCTATTTTCCTTTTCTGCAGTTAAACTTACAGGTCTTGTCCTTTCCTCAGACTGGGACTGGACAGTGAAAGGAGATGAAGACTGATGAGCTCATCTCTCGATCATTCTGGTCTCTTTTCATATCAGCATGCTCTTTGTTAGCACATGAACACCGCAACACAAATGTCTGGCTTCAGTTGCTGCTTCTCCCAGTCTGAACTCATTGGAACAGCTGATTGTAGGCCCATTCGCTCTTGTCCGTTGTGGCAATGAGTGCTCAAACACACACAGTAAAGCAATGCATGACAATGCATCTACTTTTTGTGCGGTGCATTGTGGTTGCTTTCATTGTTCCCTGACACTCACTGCTGGTTCACTCACCTTTTTCCCCCATGTATAATACTATTATGCAGTAAGACTAATATTTCCTTAATGCTATTCAGTGGGAATGCATGTAGACTCTGATACCTAAGGCATGTGCCCTGTGACTTCTGAGTGCTCCAGGTTACATTTGTAGTAAACATACTTCAATTTTTATTGATTTTTGTTTGTGAGATTTTTTTGTATATGTAGAGTCTTTTTTAAATATGCCATATATAATGTAGTTAGTTTGAGAATATGGCATATTAAGGGAATTGTTTATTAATGAAGTGCTTACTGTTTTCTTATTTGCAACAAACTAAACAGATCTTGCTACCTACAGGTAATACATTTCATTTGATCTTTTCTGGTTTTATGTATTTATTTCTTTGTTTATTCCTGGCAGATCGGCAGTACATTAAAGACAAAGAGTCTGTGGAAAAGCTTCAGGAGTCTTTCCTTCACATTTTGGAAAAGCTCTGCAAGCAACATCACCCTAACAACCCCCAACACTTTGCCCGGCTTTTGGGGCGCCTCACTGAACTGCGGACATTTAGCCATCACCATACTGACATGGTAATGTCATGGAGGGTCAGTGACCACAAATTTACACCCCTTCTATGTGAAATCTGGGATGTTCAATAACGAAGGGATGATTCATTGGAAAAAAACTGCTCATTTTGGAACTCTTACTTCATATATATACAGTATATATATATATTTTTTGTTCTTAATAGACTTGATTAGTGTTTTAATGCTATATAAACGTTATGTTAAAAACAAATAATTGACTTTTCCATTGTATGTATGTGTATATAATGTAAATGTATTTTCAAAACCAGTTTTCCAACTTTATGACAAAAAAAAGCAGATGTGAACTCAAGATCCTGCCAAGGCTTAATCATTATGTTAACAGACAGTTATTTTAGGCCATGGGCTGTTTTTTCTTTATGAAATAAAGTTTCTAATTACATATTTTACATGAGATGATTTATAATTTGCTTGTAGGGACTTTTCAGATTTGAGAATTTCAGGACACTTGTTATGCTGAGGCCTGAGGTTATGATCAACTGTCTTTTTTTAAAGTTCAGGATATTTTATTCAATATGTATATTTTCAACTTTTTCCTTTATGAACACTTTTCAAGAGTAAATGCATGTTTTAGTGATCTGAAATAACAAGATATATGTAGCAGTTTGAAGGTTACAAAATATAAATGTATATTTCACACGAGCGTCATCAGTTCAGTCAAGGTTCACAGATACAAAAAAACCTGATGAAAACATCAGTTTGCATCAGATTACATAAGGTTACATCAGTCTCATTTAGGCCCCGTTCACATTGAGCGATTTATCGCGCGATTTTTGTAGCGATATCGCTCATATTTCCGCACTATATCGCTCTATGTAGCTTCACCAATACATTTCAATGTAGCTGTTCACATCTCGTCGCTCAATGTCGCTCAATATCGCTCAATATCGCTCAATATCGCTTGTAGCTCGTCGCTGGTAGCTTGTCGCTTCTACATGACCCTTTTTTAGAGCAATTTTGAGCGATATTGCTCCTGATTGCATACAGCCCAATAGGAAGAAGTCGCGCGATGTCGCGCGACACGTCGCTCAACGTCGCTCAACGTCGCTCAATGTCGCTCAAAGTAGCGCGATTTCCATGTCGCTCAGTGTGAATGGGGTCTCAGTAAAAACGGAGAGCTGATCCGTCTCAAATTGCAGACCTCAACTGTCACTGATGTTTCCTGATGGTCTTCAGTTTTCATCTGCACTGCCAAAGAGATGTATTGTCCGTTTTTCAACCTGACAACCTTAACTGCTTCCCGGCCGGTCATTGCAATTAAACGGCCAGCCAGGAGCTTCTTGAATGTAACAGGGCATCTAAAGATGGCCTGTTAGCCCTGTCAACTCATGCGCGCCGAACGAGAAACTGCCAAAATTGAAAACAGGCAACGATGCCTGTTTACATACAAGTAATCCAGTGGGTATAGAGCCTTTGGATCGCTCGTATGAGGTGCCGGTCGGTGCGCCCCCTCCGCAATGCTGGACCCGAGCTCTGCTGTGCCCGGTGCTGCCCCGGAACCAGCACGGCGGCTCTGTGACAGGGGATCAGAGGGAGTTCAGCACACAATCTCCCTCTGATCTCCTCTCCAGTGCCAGAATGCAGGAAGTGATGTATATTACATCACTTCCGCATTCTGCTGTTACTCTCCGGCTTCAGAAGCTGGAGAGATGCTGATGAAGCAGATCTATGCTTTATCGGCTTCTTTGGGGGTCCCTAGTTTACATTAGGTGGCCCTATGTGATAACAATAAAGTTAAGTGAAAAAAAGTAAAACAAAAAGTTAAATAAAAATTTTTAAAGTCCCCAGCCCCACATACACATGCGACTTGTGCGTATATGTGCGAAAACGACGATTGCGCCCATTATGCCACATGTTACATATCACCATGAACGTCAGAATGAAAGCAATAATTCTATGGCCATTATTCACTGATAACACTAAACTGATGAGCGGTAAAAGCTTTTAAAGCATCGCCTATGGTCAATTTTGGGTATAGTAGTTTTTTTGCGACTTTGTGTGTGCGTGCAAATTTAAGGCTTGACATGATTGGTTTCTATTTACACAATGTGACCCCGTCTTTTATATTTTACCAAAAAATTGGGTAATAATAATTGTATTATAACATAATGTAAAAATTAAATTTTTTATTTTTCCTTAATATAGTAAAAAATAAAAAATCCAGTTGCGATTAAATACGACCAAACGAAAGCTCTATCTGTCCCCCAAAAATTGTGTAAAATGTATTTCAGTAGAACGTTGCATGACTGAATAAATGTCAGTCAAAGTACCACAGCGCAGAATACTGAAAAATTACCTGGACAGGAAGGGGGTGTTAACACAGTGAGGGGAATTTACTAAAACTGGAGCAGACAAAATCTGGAGCAGATGAGCACGGCAACCAATAAGCTTCTCTCTTTCATTTTCAAATCCTAACTGAACAAACTGAAGAGAGAAGCTGATTGGTTGCCACCAGGCAACTGCTTCAGATTTTGTCGGCTCCAGTTTTGATAAATTCCCCTCCTGGTCTTTAAGTCGTTAAGGCCCCTTTCACATCAGCATCATCAGTTCAGTTTAGTCAAGGTTCACAGATAAAAAGAAACTGATGAAAACTAAATCAGTTTATATCAGTTTGCACATCCATTGTCAGTTCAGTTTACAATCAGTATTTTTTGTTATTATAGTATAGCAAATTCCCATGATTCTTTGCTTTCCCTCACCTTGCAATGCTGTATTTACCTCATCAATCCCCAAAAAACAGACGTAACCTGTACTGATGTAAACTGATCATCAGTTTAAATCAGGTTACCTCAGTCCTGTTCAGTCAAAACAAGGAGCTGATCCGTCTCAAATTGCGGACCTCAACTGACACTGATGTATCAGTCATCAGTTTTCATCCGCACTGCCATAGAGATGCATTGTTGTCCATTTTTCAACCTGACAACCTGAACGCTCGTGTGAATGGGGCCTTACTTTCTTGCTCATCTGGCCGTCAGTTTTCACTGTGGAAATGGGGTGGTGCAACTCTGAGCTCAAAGCTTAGTGGTAATATCTCACCATATAGAAAGACTGTTATAGTTTGACAGTTTTCTATTTTCGGGGTGGAGCCCCAGTGGGGTTTCTGGTGGAAGGTAACATGTATGGAGAGAAAGGATAGAAGATCCAAGTCATAGGGGTTGGTCTAAATATGAATTTTTTTTGTTCACAATAAAAAGGGTTTATCAAAAAAAGGGTCAGTTAACATGTTTCCAGTCTCATGCACAACCCCCCCCCCCTTCATCAGGGCTTAGGTTTATTGTGTGAAAGCACCTATCATTATTATTATTATTATACAGGATTTATATAGCACCAATAGTTTGCGCAGCGCTTTACAATATAAGGAAGACATTACAATTACAATACAATTCAAGACAAGATGGTAAGGAGGGCCCTGCCCCTGAGGGCTTGCAATCTAAAATGGAGGGGCACACCTAGATTGTTGATTTATCCTGGATTTTGATTGTTTATAAATAATAGTTTGAAGCTTTTTCAGTAGAGTTGTCTGGCATCCATATTCTCTCCATATCAGTTTTCGCCCATAAACGGAGCAATGGTTTATGCTAATTTACAAAATGCAATCCCATTGCAACTTGGGGCTATGTACAGTATATGGGAATTCTGAAATGTACAGAGGATATTTTGAAATGTACATATCCCTACCCCACTTATGCAGATGAGCAGAGAATTTAATTTTGAAATTAACCTAGAGTGCCACTCCTGGCTATCCTCATAAATGTTCTACATTAAACTCATAAAAGTGAAAACAAGTGTTGTAAGACATCCATGCTCCTAGCTGCATCTAGCAGACAGTCATGTGACCTGTCTCAAGTTAGTTGTGCCTAGGCACTGGTTACATGGTCTCGGTTGTCTCAGCCTAAATGTCAGTTGCCCAAGTCTTTTCAGTTGGACAATGTGTCCGACGGCTGATTTCCTCAGGAAAGGTAAGTATTTATCCACTTTGTGAAGATGGCGAATCAGTGAATCTTTCTCTAGAGATCGGTAGGGATCCACTAATTTTTTTTATAGTGTTTAACATTGGATACTTTTTTTTACTAATTATAGATTTTGCAGGTTTAGAAATGCTTAATTACAATGAGTTAAAAAATAACAGCATCTCAGCATTTTTTTTTTCAATCTCTATTGACCTCTGTTATCGTTTCACAATAAATAACTATATTTATATTTTTCTCCGTCCTTTTCTGATGCTCAAAGTGCTGATTATATTGCTGATGTACATATCTGAAGACTGCCAACTAATAGGGATGCACCGATACAGTTTTTTTGGTATCGAGTACGAGTGCCGATACCGAGTACTGATGTCGGTGCTTCCGCTGGTATGGGGTCGATTTTCTGGGCAATCAGGAAGCCGAGTAGCATGTAATGACATGATTCCTGATTGCCTCCATGTTGTTTGGCCAACTTGATTGTGATTGGCCGAGAAACCGGCTTCCCGGCCAATCAGTATCTATCGAGCCGGCTTCCCAGCCAATCAGGAAGCTGGGCGGCAAGTAATGACCCACCTACTGGCTTCCTGATTGGCCGGGAAGCCGTCTCCATGCTGATTGGCTGGAAAGCCAGCTTCCCAGCTATTCAGCAAGGAGCCGGCTATTCGGCCGGCTCCATGCTGATTGGCCAGTAAGCCGGCATCACAGCCAATCAAGAAGCTGGGAGGCGGGTCATTACTTGCCAACCAGCTTTCTGATTGCCCGGGAAGCCGGCTCTATGTTCCCCTACGGCACTGCGGTCAGAGGTCATTTTCCTCTATTTGAGTTGTGAATGTCCAGTCTGTTTGAACAACATTAGCTATTCTCCTGTTACCTCTGTAATTATCATGTTATTTTTTAAACAAACTTTTCTCCACTGGATGTGTCTTGCTTTTCCTATCCTATCCTTTCACATCATCACATCCTATTGGTTCTAATTAGTTCAGACAGATCATCCTTCCCATGCTTGGTCAAACAACAACTGACTTTGATATATATGGAAGTATGAATTAGTATACCTACAATATTTTTATATAATTTTTTTAAACGGGGTAAGTGAAATGTAGTTCCCAACCTAACTCTGCATTTATTTGTTAATTGATCACTCACATCCAGC